TATAAACATCCTGTCTAGAACTGTCAAGAGGTGGAGCTAACATCATTGAAAGATGATAAATTCTGACACGGTGCTCTGAGATTTCAGTGCCACCGAATGTAGGTTAATATGGGATTCAATAGGAAATCTGGCTTGTGTATTGCTGCATATTACAGGAAACGAAGGAACTTGTCATTTGTCTGCAGATTGCTAATTGCAGTTTATTGCACATGCAAAAGGTTAATTTGGGTATGTTATCACAGTAATCACATGAACTGTCTCAGAATAAACTATACCCCTACTCTTACTGATGATCTGACCTATGGGATTTGGGACATTATTTTGTAAGATTATGGCAAACAAGAATTTTGAGTAAATGCTGTAACAGTGGGCAGCAGTGTCCTTGGGTGTAAACAACAGAGTGGAGGTGCAAGTCTCTGGTATGAAATACTTTTCCTTGACCCCTAATTTAATTATTCCCTGGGATGCCTGCAATTTATTCTTTGTGATAACACACTGAAAACAGAAGTCTCATCTATTCTAAATGAAAATTATGTTCTATTCTTATTATTGCTAGTGCTTTGTATTTACAGTAGTATTTAAAGGCCTGAGATTAATTCATGACCTCTTCATGCTAGGTGCTGTATATATACACACAGTAAGCTCACTGCCCTAAAGACCTTACACTTTAATTAAATAAAGGTTGGAGGAAGGAAGTTTTATTACCTCTGTCACAAATGGGAAATGATAACAGAGAGAAACTAAAAGGACTGAGAATTACACTCCTCCTGAAGTGAGTCCTGTATTTGCCTGTAATATATCCTCCCTTCCTGCTTTTGTTAAATTGCTGTAAATTGGTAGGTAGATGGTTGGTCTCTCCCCCAGAGATGGAGTTTAATTCTGTGCATGTTTCAAGGTTTTATGGAATGAAAGGCATTACGTAGATAGGTAACACTTTAATTTAGACTTGATTAAGTTATTCTGAAGAAACATTTCCATGGAGGGAGTAAATTCATATAAATCTGGTGTGTGTTGCTTGTTGCCATACGAGCACACCATTGCATAGATGCTGTGTTCCCTGGGGGCTGTGCTGTTGGTGCATGTGGGTTTGAAGGTACATCAGTAGAACTTTTTAATTGTTATTATTCCCTGTAGTTTGCTCTTAAATGTTTTCTAAAACACTAAAAAAAGTAATAGTCCTCAAGATGTGGGAGCATTCCACAGGATTCATGGGACTCTTGGAACACCAGGGCATGCTTAGTCTCCCAGAAATGCATCTTCTTCTCCCCCTGCCCCCTGAAAGGATCATGCTTATTCTGAAATGTATTTTAAACATTTTTAATTAGAGCGTCTAACTTGACATTAAAAAATAAAGCTAGATCTGCCTGGGCTCTTGCTTTGGGAAATCTTTTCCTATAGAGGAACATAAACCTGAAGATAACTCATTTTCCTTTTTCTCCTCAGTCAGTACATGGATGTTCAGCACAGTACAGTGATCTTGGGCAGAAACACATAGTTTAAGCAGATTGAGTGGGAAGGGGAAGAAAGAGAAAAAGGGATGAGTCAAACAAAACAAAAACAAGGTAAAATCCAAGCACAACCCAACCGCTCTCCTCATATCTTTGCACTTACAGCATTTGTGACTCTCGCTGTTGGACTTCAACACCACCAGTCCTCTACACTGATGTGTCTCTCCCTCACCTCTGTCCTGTCCTGCCCCTGTCTGGTAAATGGGTACGGTTATGTTCTGTCTCACAGGTTTTAGAGTCCTTGAGTTAAAAATACTGCAAAGAAGCAGACTTTTAATTTCTATTTTATTTAATAATAAAGAGCATTATTTTGTTGTTATAAGCCTTACGGATCCTTGAGAACTTATAAGTAATCTCTCATTTACCCCGTGGAAACCACTGCTGCTGCCTATGGAATTTAATTTGTAAAATAAGTAATCTTTTAAGTATGAAACTTAGTTGATGGGACAAGCTCAGCACTTAGGAAAGCACATCACCAGTGTATACCCTTGCTAGAAAACAATCCACTGGAGCTTTGTTATACAACATGCTAACATCCTGAGGAAGTGACAGTAATTTGCAATAAACACTGTGTGTAAACAATTACCTGTGACTTGTTACACTTGTTTGTACAGGCAGCCGGCTAAACAGATCCGGGTGCACTTGTAAACGTCTGTCCCCCGTCATACCTGATACTGGAAAACAATTACTTATTATTTGATTTCTCTGAAGTATGAAAATGTCAGTGTTTTGAACCTGACAGCTGGCAAGGACTGAGTATGAGTGCTTATAGATACAGGGAGAAGAGCTGGAGAAATAAAATGTGATTGGTGGCGTTTTTATGACAAAGGTGAGGACACTTTCATATCTAGTCACCAGACCGAAGCAAAGTTTTTGGGACAGGGTACTTGAGAGCAAAACCAACTTTCACTGGTTGAAGGGTCCTTTGGCGGTGCAAGGTCCAAGGAAGAGGCGGGGTGATCTATTTTCTAGCGGTTTAGCGAAAGCCCTGGGATGCTGGTGGCACTGCGCCGCACGAGCGGCCGTGCGAGAGGCGCTGTTCCCCTGCGGGCTCTCTGTGGTCGGAAACGTGGACGCTGCGGGGCCGGGGCAGCCGTGGGGGAGTCGGGAACCACCACAGGGGCGTGAGGCACCACAAGAGAGGGGCGCAGCGCCGCCGGTCCCGCTGTGCCCGCGGTGTCACCGCGCTCCGTCCCCGACCCGCCGGGTCACCGCGGCACGGCCGGGCCGGGCAGGACGGGGGCGTGGCTCCCCCCGGCGCTGACCCCGCTCCCGCCGGGGCCGCAGCGCCTGCAGGGCGGGCCGGGAGGCGCCTGGGCGGCCGCAGCCCGGTGCCCGCAGGCGCGGCCTTTCCGCCGCTGCGGCCGCAGGAGCCGGGCCGGGTGTGTGTGGGTCGGGCCCGGCCCGCGCGCGGCCCCGCGCGGGCGCAGTGCGCGCGCCGGGGGAGGGAGGGCGGGCAGGGGCAGCGGGAGGGAGGGGCGCGCGC